AGTTAGTAGTAGTAGTAGTAGTGTTTTTTGTTGTTGTTGTTAGTTGTTAGCTGTTGTAGTTGTAGTGTAGTTGCTGTTGTAGTAGTAGTAGTTGTTGTTGTTGTTGTTGTGGTTGTTGTTGTAGCTGTAGTTGTTGTAGTTGTAGTTCTAGTTGTAGTTGTTGTGTAGTTGTAGTTGTAGTTGTAGTTGTTGTTGTTGTTGTTGTTGTTGCTGTTGTTGTTGCTGTTGTTGTTGTAGTAGTTGTTGTAGTTGTAGTTCTAGTTGTAGTTGTCGTGTAGTTGTTGTAGTTGTAGTTGTTGTAGTTGTAGTTGTTGTTGTGGTTGGTGTTGTTGTTGTGGTTGTGGTTGTTGTTGTTGTTGTTGTTGTTGTTGCTGTTGCTGTTGCTGTTGCTGTTGTCGTCGAAGTTAGGGTAGTTAAGTTAGTTAAGTTAGTTAAGTTAGTTAAGTTAATCAATGTCTACGTTTTCGACTTCTTCACGTCAAAAAAGGCTCAAAACCCTCAGTTTTTTTACACTTTTGACTTCGAAATGTGCTTCGCGCCACAACGGCGTGCACTTTTTCGACACTTTTTCGACATCTCAACTTCCAAAAGTGGTCCGAGACCGCCAGTTTTTAACACTTTTGACTTGGAAATGTGCTTCGCGCCACAACGGCGTGCACTTTTTCGACATCTCAACTTCCAAAAGTGGTCCGAAGCTGAGGTGTTTTGTACATTTTGACTTGGAAATGTGCTTCGCGCCACAACGGCGTGCACTTTTTCGACATCCGCAACTTCCAAAAGTCGTCCGACCTGGTGTTTTGTACATTTTGACTTGGAAATGTGCTTCGCGCCACAGCGGCGTGCACTTTTTCGACCTCGCAACCTCCAAAAGTCTTCCGACGCTGAGTTGTTTTTGTACCTTTTGACTTGGAAATGGCTTCGCGCACAACGGCGTGCAATTTTTCATCGCTCCTGTGCCAGCTGGCTCCGCACCCGCCGCTTTAGCGAGCCTACTTTTCGACCCTCCTGAGCCACAAATCATTGGAAAAACACAGTGTTTCGCGACTTTCCTACCTTTTCGCGCATCTGTATCTTCTTTCTTCTGACTCTTTCTCTTCTCATCTTCTCTCTTCTAATCTTCCTCTTCTCTCTGCCTCTCCCCTACTCTGCTTTTCATCTGTCCATATTGTCGGAAGTTTGACTTCTAAACTTCCTTCGATTAAGGTTGTTTTTATGGTTTTGTATGGATTGTTATGTCAAAATATTTATTATACATGTATATATTGTCTTCTTATGTTTATGTATTTATATATATATATATTACGTACATAAATTTCGTTCTATATGGATTGATACGGGGATTCAATATGAATTAATGCTTATAAGAGAATCACCAATATGATATGGATTTGTCCAAGACAGAGGCAACTCCAATAACTGCGCTTTATGATGGTTCGTGATACTTATCACTATAGTTGGTGGGGGTTATAACCCAATTTTTAGCTGAGGGGCCCCACATTGTAGGATTTTGATGGATTTTAAATGGACATTTGCTATCTGGTAATTTAAGCTATGGAACATCACCATTTTTAGTACGAAAAACATCGAATGGCTTTCCGCCAGTTCTGTTACCTCTGGTAAACTAACATAACTATGGAAGACCAGCATCTTTAAGAGCGGTAGATCAACTATTCCTATGGGCCAGGGCTTGCCATAGCTATTTTGACATAACCAGAGGGTAGTCATCCAGCCGTATGGAGCTGCTACGAGGGATATATCCCTATTAAATCCTATTAAATAGTAAATGGGGGTCTCTTAAATATCCTTATATAACGTTTGTTTAATAAGGGATATAGTATATAGGGATAATATCCCTATATCCCTATTAAACCCTATGGTTTATAGTTCAATTCGGTGTATAAACCAAAGGAACATAACTTCGGGGGTCTCACCTTACAGGTCATCCAAGATTGGCCATGTCCTTCACTAAAGATCCAAAGCTTCATCACAGGTTCACAGTGAACTGTGTGTCAACTGAGCTGTCGTCGCATGGGGGGGCCCCACCTACACCATGTAGTTAGCATCAGACATTTATGCGTGGGATAACTATAACTGGTTGGTGGTTTGGAACATGATTTTTATTTTTCCATAAATATGTTGGGAACAATAATCCCAACTGACGAAGTCATATTTTTCAGAGGGGTAGGTATAATTACCACCAACCAGCCATAAAAAAACCATTTAAGGGACTTACGAACCAGGATTCCCAACCAGTTCCGCTCCGTGGGATGGTCAAAGCACGAAATGATCGGGGATTTCTTCGCAGTTTTGAGGCTCGAGCAGAGAAATAAAAAACGGTCACTGGCCCCACGGCAGACCGAGACCTAGTCATGGGTCCCCGCTGGATAATGGAAAATCCCATTGGAAAATCCGAATGGATGAGTTAGGGCTACCACCAGTCATTAGGAAACCTCTGTGAAAACTCCCACCAATTGCAGGATGATCCCCTCACAAAAATGCAGACAAAACATGCAGTTCAGCTCTAAGCCATGTTTTTTTCTGAGAAATACACCATTGTTGAACAGCGACCCACTAATATCTAATGGCATTTCTCAATTCCGCAGTTGTGGTTCTTGAAGAAAACAAACATCTATTCAGTCCATAACTCGCTTTTACATCTTAACCATCCATAATCATCCATAACCATCCATAGTTTTTCAGCCAGAACCATCCATAAGCCTTTTGTCCCTTTCCGCTGCACCATGTGACTGCCATCCGACGCAAAGATGGAGGAGCAGGGGATGACAATCTCATTGGAGAGACTACATGGAAATAGTTCCCTTCCCTCTATTAAACACCTCCAAGAAACCATGGTTTGATGAATCTTGGTGCATTTTGGCTTCCAAAATGTGATGTTTGTTGTGTTATAAGTTACAACCCCATGAATACTATACCCAGATGCTCCATGGTGGAATATTTACCTACATAAAAACCAAAAAAAATATTCCAGCACCGTGGAGCATCTGGGCATCGTTTGATGAAATCACATATTCGGGACCGTTTGGGATGGGCAGTCATCGTTTTTGTTGAGAAATGGTACTTGTTGGAGCGCATGGATTCGTATCTCCCAGTTATCCAATTTTAAGCTTTGGGTAGTAGATTCCAAACTGTCAGTGCCCAAAAAAAGGATTGGCATTCATATACTCTTGGGGTTGATCCGACAAGTTTAGTTTTAAGTATCAAGAGCTAGGATTCTCTTATCCGTCGATTGAAACCATGGTTATTGACCAGATGGTTGATTTACTGGTTGGTGGTTTGGAACATGATTTTTATGACTTTCCATATATTGTGAATTTCATACTCCCAAATGACTAAGTCATATTTTTCAGAGGTGTAGGTCAACCACCAACCAGTTTATGTGTTTCATTTCCATCCCGGATTTTGGGACGATGCTCAGTCACAGCCACATTTTTTTGGGTGGCTGCCACCAGATCAAAGTCCCATCATCGGGATTCAGCCAAGCCCTCCCAAGAATGTGCGGGTTTCAGATGGTTTAAAGGCAAATCTTAACCACCAACATCCACGTAAGGGCAAAGCTTGACCATGTTTTGGGTTCGCAGGGAAAACCGACCTGGCAGGTGCTTGGCTGAAACTTCTCATCTTTTGTTAAAAAGGATTTCCTGCTTCCCACCAGGATTCAGAACCGCTGGATGTGCCAAGAGCGCCAAAGAGGACACCCCTTGGTGGGGAGTGGACGGCACAGAGAGGAATCTGGATCGAAATTTAAAGGCGCTGATGCACTTTAGAATTGGATATATTCTGGGTAAATTATAACGACCTCACTGCGACCGAAGCCTGGAATCATGGTTAGAATCATCCCCAATATGGCCTTAATTCAGGTGGTAATTCATGCTTGCATGAATTACCACAGCAATACCGACTGATGCTGTCGGTTGTTCAGGTCATTAAGGTAGGCGTGTGCTTTCGTGCCCTCTGAGGCCTGACCAACATGCGGCTCGAGTGGATGTGGTTGTGAACTTAGCTGTCACGGTTTTAGATTTATGTGTTTTGCTTGCTTATGTTGTTTTGGGTTTCAGGATCTCGCTTAGTATGTGCACTTTGATGAGATATGGGTTCAAAGATTTTGCGGTAGATTCCCAATTTCTGTGGAGATGGACCGTCAAGCAATGGAGTATGCCACTGTGACTTCTTTGCTCGTCCAGCTGATCCCGCTGTTGATGGCTGCGATTGTGTCATTGATTCCGGTCATGACGGATGGGCAGCTGAGCTCGTTGGCGGTGAGTTTGGAAGAGGCTCTGTGCAATCGTGGTTTGTCCACGAGATCTCAGAGCTCCACCACTGCTGGGCCCCCTGGCATATCGCCGACGGCATTACCTACAATGCCCCCTGCAGCCAATCAGCCGAACAGCGAAGTACATGAGAGTGGTCAGCTAATTTGTCGCCAATGCGGTGTCCGCTGGTGTGCCAAGAAGACATTGCCGCACCATGTGAACCGTTGCTACTGCACCATTTGCCATCAGGCTAGACGTGGCTGATCGTAATTGCCATCTTGAGTCGGCAAATCGACATCTTGGTGCAGTCTGTCACAGAAATGGATTTTGAAGACTACAGGTGTGCGCAGAAAAATGTCGCTGCGATCAGCTGCTTTGTTGATTTGTGGCGTTGTTTGCACTCCCAGTGTGTCATGTTATCCAAGCTTGTTGAATGTATTGTGTCATTTTGTTGAGGTCGAACGTCATCGGGAAAATTGGTTGGCGGCTGACCGTCGACGTTGTGTTGTGTTTTGGTTTGATTTGCCGAATTGGCGTCAGCAAGATCTGTCTTGGCAGCATGATGAAACCTGTACAAAGTGAATTTTGGCTGTAGTCTATGACACGTTGTTAATGTGCAACATGGGGCAATTTCAGACGTGTGACTTCATGTTTGTTTGACGCATTCAATGTGTGACACAGAATTTATGTGGCATTGACTAACTGTCCAATTTTAGCCACCCTTGCGCAATGAGCGATGTGCAATGGGATCAAAGTTTCAATGAATTGCCAATATTGGCAGAGGAGTACGATGGCAATGGGGCCACAGGATTCCTGGAATGGTTGATATCCCGCCAGGTGTTCGACCAATGCCAGAGTTGCAACGTTGACGCCAGATATGCAATCTGTAAGGGCAATCAGATCGAGCTGCATGTGCCAATCAGTGCTAGTGTGAAGTACTCTGCCAGTCAAAATGTGGAAAACACTGTTGTGTGTGTGAGAAACACCACGTACGTGGTCGAGCAGAGTTTGGCTGGTATCCGGGTTACTTATCACAATGTGATTCGTCACCTGGCAAGCTACCGAGTCATCTACCAGATGCCGTTGGCTACGGACAGCTTGGCAAGGTCACTGGGAGGATATGTGAATCATTTCGCTGTCGATCCAGCAACGGCATACCCCCCTCGAACAACGGCGCGGTCCGACACCAATTCAATGGCGTCTGCACTAGTACAGCAGTTCGACTTAGGCTCTTCTCATCTCCAATGCCATTTTGGCCTCTGGTCGAGAATATGGCTCAACTTTCAGGTTCTCGCACACTGTGTGTCGTTGCCTGACAACATCAGGGGCCTACACTATCCTGCCCGGTCCAAATATGGTGGGATTGTGGGGTCTTCAGTTGCAGCTTTTTCCCCACATCTTTGTGTGGGGTTCTTGTTTTTGATTCTGTATCCCGGGCTCCTCCTCCGCCTTCTCCTCCTCCGCCCTCCTCCACACTTTGTCACCACACACTTGTCCACACACACTTTGTCACCACACACTTTGTCACCACACATTGTCAACACACACTTTGTCCACACACACTTTGTCACCACACACTTTGTCACCACACATTGTCAACACACACTTTGTAAACACACACTTTGTCACCAAACACTTTGTCCACACACACTTTGTCCACACACACTTTGTCCACACACACTTTGTCACCACACACTTTGTCCACACACACACTTTGTCACCAAACACTTTGTCCACACACACTTTGTCCACACACACTTTGTCACCACACACTTTGTGAACACACTTTATCAACACACACTTTGTCAACACACACTTTGTCACCAAACACTTTGTCCACACACACTTTGTCCACACACACTTTGTCACCACACATTTTGTCCACACACACTTTGTCACCAAACACTTTGTCCACACACACTTTGTCCACACACACTTTGTCACCACACACTTTGTCCACGCACACTTTGTCACCAAACACTTTGTCCACACACACTTTGTCCACACCTTCGTTTCATGTGGCAGGCGTGGCACAAATTCACATCCACCGTCGTTTTGTGTGGCAGGCGTGGCACTCATGGTACTGTGTGGCGCGCTTGGTCCGGATTTGTCGCCCGGGGCGCCGCGCCACTTTGCGTGGCAGGCGTGGCACAACCTGACATCCACCTTCGTTTCACGTGGCAGGCGTGGCACAACCTGACATCCACCTTCGTTTTGCGTGGCAGGCGTGGGACAGATGGCACTGGGTGGCGCGCTTGGTCCGGATTTGTCGCCCAGGGCGCCCACTTTGCGTGGCAGGCGTGGCACTTGGTGACATCCACCTTCGTTTCACGTGGCAGGCGTGGCACAAACTCACATCCACCTTCGTTTTGCGTGGCAGGCGTGGGACAGATGGCACTGTGTGGCGCGCTTGGTCCGGATTTGTCGCCCGGGGCGCCGCGCCACTTTGCGTGGCAGGCGTGGCACAACCTGACATCCACCTTCGTTTCACGTGGCAGACGTGGCACAAACTCACATCCACCGTCGTTTTGTGTGGCAGGCGTGGGACTCATGGTACTGTGTGGCGCGCTTGGTCCGGATTTGTCGCCCGGGGCGCCGCGCCACTTTGCGTGGCAGGCGTGGCACTTGGTGACATCCACCTTCGTTTCACGTGGCAGACGTGGCACAACCTGACATCCACCGTCGTTTTGCGTGGCAGGCGTGGCACTCATGGTACTGTGTGGCGCGCTTGGTCCGGATTTGTCGCCCGGGGCGCCGCGGCACTTTGCGTGGCAGGCGCGGCACTTGGTGACATCCACCTTCGTTTCACGTGGCAGGCGCGGCACAAACTCACATCCACCGTCGTTTTGCGTGGCAGGCGTGGCACTCATGGTACTGTGTGGCGCGCTTGGTCCGGATTTGTCGCCCGGGGCGCCGCGTCACTTTGCGTGGCAGGCGTGGCACTTGGTGACATCCACCTTCGTTTCACGTGGCAGACGTGGCACAACCTGACATCCACCGTCGTTTTGCGTGGCAGGCGTGGCACTCATGGTACTGTGTGGCGCGCTTGGTCCGGATTTGTCGCCCGGGGCGCCGCGTCACTTTGCGTGGCAGGCGTGGCACTTGGTGACATCCACCTTCGTTTCACGTGGCAGACGTGGCACAAACTCACATCCACCATCGTTTTGCGTGGCAGGCGTGGCACTCATGGTACTGTGTGGCGCGCTTGGTCCGGATTTGTCGCCCGGGGCGCCGCGCCACTTTGCGTGGCAGGCGTGGCACTTGGTGACATCCCCCTTCGTTTCACGTGGCAGGCGTGGCACAAACTCACATCCACTGTCGTTTTGCGTGGCAGGCGTGGCACCAGCTTTGACACACCCTCTTTCACACACCACTTTGTCACACACCATCTTTCGCACACCTTCTTTCACACCCAACTTTGTCACCCACCATCTTTCACGCACCATCTTTCACACACCACATTGTCACCCACCATCTTTGACACACCCTCTTTTACACACCATCTTTGTAACACACCATCTTTCACACACCATCTTTTACCCCCAACTTTGTCAAACAGCATCTTTGACACACCAAGTTTCACACACCGCTTTGTCACACACCACTTTGTCACACCATCTTTCACCACACCATCTTCCACACACCATCTTTCACCACCCCATTTTTCACACACAACTTTGTCACACACACCATCTTTGACACACAATCTTTCACACAGCACTTTGCCACACACCGTCTTTCACACACAACTTTGTCACATGCTCTCTTTCACACAGGACTTTCACCCACACCATCTTTCAGCACACCATCCTTCACACACCACTTTGTCACACACCATCTTTCACCACACCATCCTTCACACACAACTTTGTCACACACCGACCATCTTTCGCCACACCATCTTTCACACACCACTTTGTCACACACCATCTTTCACACACAACTTTGTCAAACACTCTCTTTCACACACAACTTTCACACACGCCATCTTTCACACACTGCTGTGTCACACACACACACCATCTTTCACATTCCACTTTGTCACTCACAACTGTTTTAACTTCTCGATCCTTCACCGCCTCCTTTCCCCTAACCTTCTTTCCCCGTCCCTGCTACAACCTTTCATGCTTATTATTGGAAGAAGTTGACTTGTGGGGTTATCCGGTCCTTTAATTTGAGTGAGGCTGATGGATTGAGACGGGGCACGACCATACCAGTGACCCTTCACAACAGCAGACTTGAAGAATTGGGAGCCATCATTCGGCTGCTGCTGGCTCAGGAACCGGTCATTGAGCCTTACCTCGAGAAAGAGGGGCCTGGCCAGATGCTATCTCCTCCCGACGGCCGTGCTGAATTCTCGGATGAGGGCAGATTCGGAACCTATCCTGATGGTGAGGATTTTGTGATCTGTGCGTCAGCATTCAAGTTTGAAGAACCGGTGACAGTTTTGTTTTTCACAGAGACCGGTTTCCTTCCAAATGCTGGAGTGGTGCCTGGAGACGCTGCAATCCTTGCAAGCGGATTGAGTCCGAACAGCCTACTTGGTAATCACTACCAAGTGCCGATGGACCCTCTGGACATGGAGCGCCTCATTCCTATGAGTGGGTTACGTGAGGCACTTAGCATCTTGGCAAAAATCTTGCCAGATGCAGCAGGCTGCACTGCTGGCGCAATGGTGGCCTGGAGTCTGTCTGCGGGACAGCCGGCAGAGGGGCAACACGAAGAGACTTCTCTGGTTGCACCGGCGTACAGTGCTTGGATTGCGAGAGGAAGAAAAGCTTTTGCGCAGAGTTCAGTGGTCGGTTCGATGTTTCCAGACTTGGTGAACTTGGAAAGTGAGGTTAGAAGTACTGATTCATCAGTCAGAAACATCCTCAGAGCTTGGAAGACTTCAGGTCGCAGAAGTGATTACTACTCGGCGCCACAATCAATTTACAAGTTGATGCGATTGTACTTGGTGCAGGCATTGCGCTATGTCGGGATGAGGCCGGCATGCCTGGCTTTGGACGCAAATCCAGTCACTGATGCATACAACGATGAAAGAGCAGAGGCTGAACAGATCTGTACTTCCTCACAAGGGACAACGACTGGTCTCAGTGAGGTACTGGACAGAGCGGCAGTGCGACTGTCAAATGTCACACTGCCCAAGGTGCTTCTCGAGGGCCTGCGGCCAGGAGTTGCAACTCTGAACCCTTCACGGAGTCTTAGCCGTACGGAGTACGGTCCATACTCCCCTCTCACATGGCCAGTGTTCAGGGCTATGACGGGTCCGACAGCTTTGGAGCTCCCACCCAGCCTCCTCACTTTGGTCAGCGAAGCTGGGTTTTGTCCAGCGGAAAGTCATGCAATCGAAATCGTGATGGAACGTTTCCAAAACATTGCAGCTGATCGAGTACTCTTCGCTGGCAATGAGCAGGCCAGTATCACAAGCGAAGGAATACAGCTGCTCGCTGACGCAGGGTTGGGGTTTGGCTCAGATCTCACAGTGAGAGTCTTCCCAAACCTGGCGGTTGACACGGGCCTTGAGATGCACGCGTGTGCTGTCAGAGAAGTGAGCAGTCAGTCCACCACGTTTGTTGGACGGGGTGCGCAAGTGAACTTGGACTGGGTTGGCGTCCCCGTGGTGGTCCAAGGAGCTCCTAGAACTGAAATGACTACGTACAGTGACTCTCTCACACTAATGCAAAGGTACTGGCAGATTCAACAGGAAGTCAGTACATTAATCCCAGCAAATAATGGCATACCTGAGGGTGACCCATGGTCAGTTGCAATCATGGTGTGTATATCTTCGGATTGGGTTCGAGGACTTGATGCCTTGAACCAGGACATTGGAAGTTCAGCATACGCAGACAATTGGTCCTTTTGGCAGGCAATCCACAAAGATCATCGTCCGATGATCTCACACACTCTTGCGTACACTTCTCAAACGGGTTTAGAAATCGATTGGGATAAGACATGGATCTGGAGCACCTGCAGCTCTGGTCATAAACCACTTCAATCAGTCATCAACACCTTAGTGCCAGAAACTGAACTGCAAAAAAGAAATAATGCATGTGACCTTGGATGCCAGGTCACATACTACGGTAATCCAAAGCTGGGATCAATGCAAGAGAGATTTCAAAAAGCCAAAAAAAGAGCTCAGGTTTTGAAACTGATGGGATGGGATCTTTCTCTAAAAAATCATATGTTGCTGACTAGTATACTTCCGGTGGCTTTTTATGGCGCAGAGTTGATTCATGTGGGGCAAGCACATTTTGACACATTACGCTCTCACTTCTCACAAGCGTTGGTGGGAGAAACGGTCAGGAGCTTAAACCCGGCAGTATTTCTACATTGCGCAGACAAAAAGATTCTTGACCCTCAACTATATGTGATGCGCCAAGCACTGAAAAATGCCAGAAGCTACCTTTTCAGGATAAGCCCAGAAAAACAAGCTACATTTTTACAATTACTTTCCAGACCACTGAAAGGAACACAGCAGGTGATTGGTCCAGCTACAGCCTTGCGTGAGTACTTGCTGAAAATAGGTTGGATTTGTTCTCCACAAGGGGAAATACAGATTAATGCCTACAAAACGTGCCACATCATGAATTCTCCATTCCAGGAGTTGGAGCAATACATGGTTCTGGCTTGGCAAGAACAACTCTTGATGTTCTGTACTGAGCGCAAAAAACTTTACCATCATCCCCCAATCGATAAATTTGGGGTCCTCCGAGCACTACAAGGTTTTAATGAAAAAGAAAAGTTATTACTTCTCAGGGAAATTGCTGGCGCATTCCAAACAAAGCATCAACAGCAGCAATGGGACCCATCAGTGACATCAATCTGCGACTGGTGCGGAGTTGGTGAAGACAGTAGACAACACAGGGTTCTGGAATGTAATGCTTTTCAAGAGCTTCGCCTGCAGCATGCCCAAATTTTGCCAATTCTCGAGGAAGAAAAGACAGAGTGGTGTGACTTGCCAGTGTTGTCATGCCATCCAGAGGCTTGTTTTCATGCAGCATTACATGACGCTATGCCTACTCCCACCATTGAGCAAGAACTGCGTGATAGACTGCAATATAATAAAGATTTCGATTCTCTCCAATTTTACACTGATGGTAGCTGTAGACACTCTGAATCTCCTGGGACGAGGTATTCTTCATACAGTATCATTGTTGATTTGGCTGAAGACAATTCGGAGAGAAAACAATTGGCAGAACGATTTGCAGGTACAAGAATTTTTCCACCCACGCTGCAGAGAATTGCCTGGGGCAGACTTCCAGGTAAACAAAACATACATAGAGCAGAGCTTGTGGCAGTACTCTGGTTGTGTGAACATTTCACAAGCTTCACAGTTTTTACAGACAGCGCGTTTGTTGTGGACATTGTTCACAAATGCCGACAGTGGAATGAAAACATGCAGTTTGCTCATCACCCAGATTTTGACCTCATACGAAGACTCAAGGGAGTGCTGACTGATTGCATGAAAGTGGCAAAGATTAAGGCTCATCGTAATATTCCCGATATATGCAACCTACTGGAGAGATATAGGGCTTTGGGAAATGCAATGGCCGATGCTGAAGCGGTTAGCGCTTGCTTATGCTTGTTTCCAGAATTGCAGCAGCGTTTTGAACAATTCCATATTGACTACATGCAAGATTTGGAAAAGCTGAAGCTCACTTACAAACTTTTGCTTGAACTGCAGATTGCAAGGAAACGTTCTACTGATAACTCTTTAATGGGTTACACTGTTGAAGAATCTGTTAGCACTCTGGATCCACGAACTATGAAGAAGGCACTACACTCTTGGGTAATCAATCAACCTTGGCAACCTTCTCTGCCTTGGAACACAACATGGCTGTCACTTAATTCCTGGGGTGTACAGATAATGCATGCAGTACAATCATGGATGATGACATGCGTCTGGCCGGCGAATGAAGAAATAACAGCTGATGATTTGGGCATTTCTTGGACAGAAGTGGCTGTTGCACTGATGCTACATCACAAGCAACTCTTACCTGTGAAAAGAGAAAAAGACGGAAAAGTTTTTGTCACACAACCAACGTCTCCGGCTGAGGTTATGCTTGTGAACACATCAATGTCAGAACAAACGCAGGTGGCTTTTGCCTTGGTACAGCACTTTAGGAGTCATATACCAGAGGAAGTATTGCCAGTACACATTCAACAAGGAAAGATTAAATCAATGTACATGCAGGGCCATGCAATATGGACTACAGGGCTCAAACGTCGTCCCTCTTATCCGTTGCAAGGTCAGGTTTGTGACATTTTGGAAGAATTTTTGACCAGGACTAACCGCAAACTTGAGGGTCTTCCAAAAGTTGATTTCCCAGAGTTCAAGATCTGGAATGAAGACATTCAGCAGAAAAATGTGGATTGGTTAACGCGGGAGAAAAGATCCAAGAAAGCACTTCTGGCAGTTCGTACGTTTCGAGGAGGCGGTTGAGGTTCATGTTTCACAATCATTCCATTTATTTTCACATCAACTTCCAAGATGGAAGGCAAACCGAGAACAGTCCGCTGAGTCATCACTTGGGCCTCAGGGCAGGGTGATGGCTTCTTTCTTAAGGTGAAAGGCCTTAATTCAGGTTAGTGAAATATTATAATTTACCCAGATATATTGGAGATATGCCCATATTCTTGATTGGCTAAATTCCAATTTGCAAAAAATCTATTGTTGGGTCAGGTCACCATCGGGGAGTCAAGATGGCAAATAGCAACTTGAATCTAGGAACGAGGTTCAAGTCTATTTCTAATCCTTTCTAGGCTATATCAAAAATTGGGATCTACCTCCCTTACCATGAACCGTCAGTTGGATCATGCATTTCTGCGCATGCGAATGGTCCACTTGCGAATTATGTTCTTTGAAAATGTTGGGAAAACCCCACAATTTGATGGATGATCATTCTTTTCTAATTAAAAATGCTTTTTGGGAGTTTAAATCCACCATTTTCAGACACGCCCAGCACCCTTTATTGAATTACCCTCTATTGTTGGTTATATGCCCCATTAGATTTCAATATCTCCCCACAAAATATTTCCAGAAACGGTCCAATGATCGGTTAAATCCTATTGTAACCCAATTGTTGGTGATATTCCCATTATCCGACTACCTCACCATACACCCATTGCATCCCCATATGTTCGGGGAAATTTAGCACGATCTCACGTCGCGACCTCACTGGAATGATGGTGAAAGTTGGGACAACTAACTCAAAATAGCCGAACTTTTCAGATTTAGTGACCTACTCCCATTCCCCCTAATCGTAAACACCCCCATTGTATGGTCCCAAGTATGTGGAAATCCGCCACTAAAACTATAGTTTCTGGAGGGTGTTAAACATATTAGCGCGAGGCCGTCACATCTTGGGTTTGGTAAGCAGCCTTTCAAGCGGTATTCTATCCCAGGTGGGTCATCAACCCAGTGCAGATTTGTAGAACCACTATGCTTGGATTCTGATTATGGGATGACCATTAACATCCATTAACCAAGTAATTTAACATCCATTAACATCCATTAACATCCATTAAGCATGGCTTTCTTTTTCTGCAGGAACAAACTCTTTGGCGTTTGTTCATTCATTCTGGTGGTCGAGATGTGCGAACGACTCTGCTACTACACTCTCCAAGGCCCTGTGACACGGCACGGATCCATGGGGGAGCCAGATGCGTATTTCATAATCACATAGTGGAGATATGAACAGTTTATCAAGGTATCTAAGGTATCCAGAATAATAGGTATCTGTGATATGAATTGATAATAATTGATATGATCTAAGGTATCTAATAATCACATGCTAACTTCGTGGATATGTTCCAGTAACTTCTCCCAGTTGTAGTGCAGGGTGTCCCTCATTGGATCCAAGAAATGGGGACGAATCTGATCCCGCTGAAAACTCGAAAAACAATTTCTGGCTCTAAGTAGTAAAATTATATAACATTTTGCTGTGTGTGTACACCTCTGCGACATCTTCGATTTTTTGGGGACGAATCTTGTGAATCTGATTATCCACACTGGGCTTGAAGAATTTTCATCGGAGCCGAATGGCCGATCCCGTGATCCGTTTGTTACTCCAGGTATAGATCTATTTATCCACCATAAATCCAATAATTTACTCACATGATCAACCAACTTATAAGATCCCACCATTATTTAAGTTGCGTTTAATAGTTTAATAGTTAATCGTTTAATATATTGTTAATACCACCTTCCCCTACATTTTCCCATATATTTCCCACTGAAGATAGTCATAGCTTGGTGAGGTTCGCAGCGCAACTTCCTGGAAGATGCGGGTGGAACAGGACGAGAACTTTCAAGTCTTGGCTTTTTCAGACTTGGATGGTGGGAAAATGTTGCGAAAATTTTGGGGTAAACATGGTTGATTTTTTCCAACTTGGATGATTTGGAAACTACTGTTGGGACGGTTGGGGGTAAAAACATGTAAAAACCATATGAATCAACTTGATCATGACCTCACGTCGTGACGGAATTCTGGAATGATGGGGGGTTGGATTCGGGGAACCACACCCAAATGGCTAAACATTCCAGCTATGTTCAGGTTCAGCGAGTTGAAGTGCGAAAGGGAACAAAGAGGTTTATGGGAACCTCATTGTCTCTCTGGCTGTCTGAGAAAGGTGCGTGGTCTTCTCGCCCGAGACTTCACGTCTGAGAAAGAAATATCTAAGCAGAAGAGAGCAACATGGGGAGAAGGCAACCTACACGGCTTTTACGTTGAAAGTTTCGCATCAGCGCAAGCTGAAATCTGATGCTCATGGCCAGTGAGGACAACCGTGACGCTGGCATCATTAGCTGCGCAGTGGATACAGTTTCAAGTCCCTTCCGGCTCACCAAAAGGCTATACATTCTAAAGAAGGAGGAAAAAAAAGAGAAAAAGGGATAAACCTGTGGCAGCAAGGGCGAGCTCGAGTACCAAAAGGTTCTTTCAGAAAGGACCAGAAGCTGCTGCAGAAGTTGGAGAAGCTGCTGAAGCTCCAGGAGCTGAAGGGCGCACCAAGCGAAATTTGCGGGGTGCACTATAAGTCAGCCAGAATCCATAGATATCCATTGTATTCTGCAGATTTTCCATTAATTAAATCAATCTATTGAAAGGTCTGTGACATCGTTCCCTTTCATGGAAAAATATTCTGTTCACTAACCCATGCCATTCACTAACCCCAAGCAATTCCCCCATGAACGGATGTAAAGATTGCCCATGGGGAAAAATGGTTGGTGAAAACTGCTTGATTGCCCACGTTGCTTTCAATCTGGGAATGATGGAGACGGGTTTTAGTAAAAGGTTCTACTTACCCTCTGGTAATTTGACATAACATTCGCCATCCCGGAAATAGGTAAATCATCGAACGAAATTTGCAATTTATTACATAGTAAAATGTCAAATTTTGCAGAGTGCCACTATGTTGTTAGACCTACTGACTTCAATTTTCTGTTTAGAAGGGCTGTACAGGCTCGGTCACCAGCACCATTCAGGTGAAAATGGCAATGGGGTATACTCCAAACATGGCCATTGAATGGGGAAAATAATGATCGATGATTTAGGGGTATCCTATTTATTTTCAGACAAACTCACATCCAAACTCTAAATAGTGGTGAATTATTGATTCGAAGCTGTGTGAATGAATCTGAAAACTCTTTGGGAGTGACGAAAAATCCCATTATGACCATACTGGACCATACTCGTCAAGCAGTAAGTGGGATGATGCTACAAATAGGGTGCCAGATAGGCCACGGATGAACACATTTGCTGCACTATCAGTTTGTTTGACCCACTTTTGAGATTTATATGTATATAAGTTTATCTTTGACTGACCCAAAAGTAGCAAGGGCAACATGGAGATGTCACAATATATCAAATTGGATTTATACACTAGTTGAAGATGATGACAACGGTCAACTACAATAGTTAAGTTTCAATACCACAAATAGTCTTTCCAGGCATCATCTTCCCATATTCCGTTTAAGCTAAAATTTCCTACAAAGCCCAAAATTGGAGGCAACATAGTTCTCTGTAAATAGTTTCTTGAATCAAGACATTGATATCAAAAATTGGGGGGTCTCTTAAAATGGACCAAGAATGGTGGATCCCCAAGACACCGTTTCAATACTAAGTCATGGGTCATCCATGACTTGGATGATTTGGGTGTACCCCCATGACTTAAAGAATTAGGAAACCTCCAAAGATGTACTCATATCTGTACATATATATATAATTATATACCTATACCAAGATATGTCCATGATATTTATGTTATATTTCCATGAAATGTCACCGTATTGTGGGGTTTTGACAACCCCCACTCCTCATCACTTTAGGACAGAATCGCGGCATGAAGGCGCGTGGAGCTGGCGACTCCACGTGGCGTTGGATAGTTGGATCACAACGAATCGTCGAGATTTTCATGGGAATATGGGGATATTCCATTGGATATACCGATATACCTAGACCCTTCAAGTACCTACAACATTTTCTTACTTGTGCTAAACGTAGGGAATTTTCGGGAATGATCCACTGGCTAACCATCAATAATAATCCCAGCAACCCCCAGCAACCCATCCATTCCCTACGTAAAACGCACCAGTAAGTTGTGGTAATATATTCATTGAACTTATTTTGGCACCAAATTACATTTTTTTCGGCTACTTGGTGAATCCAAATAGAAACAACTTCGTTTTACTTAGTAGCTGGTTAGTTTCCTGCACTTCATAATTGCGTAGCCCAACAGTAGGATTTCACAAATTTCATGGCCGAAAATTGGTATCTAACCAACCAAACGGTGGCATGTAGCTGATAATAATGGATTGAAACTGATGTTAAGAGTCGGATGACCCAGGAGACGCCAAGTGGGATGATCTCTAAGCTAGCTGTGCTTCATCCTTTTCCCAAAAAAGACAGTATCCCGGTCAACAACAGAGGCCGAATTTGTATCGTTGTCGACATCGCTTTTCACTGAGGCAGTACCGTTGCTCGAAATTTGCCAACAGCTCATCACTCCCGAGATTGTGTCATAGCGGTCACGCGATACAGAAACCAGTCGCTCGTCAGGCCTGTGGCTGTACCTAGCATCGCCACAGTGGATGTGCTGTCGATCACACAGCAAGCGTTCAGAGACTGGGACTGTACAATCCCGCTAGCAGTGACCGGCAAGACTGCAGCGGACTGTCTCGCCTTGAAGCGCCTAGAGATAGACACCGTTCCAGTGGGCGGACAGTCAGTCCCAATACTCCCGTGGCTCTCCATGACGATGAGCATCGGACCTGGTGACATCCAAGCCTACCTCATGGACATGGCCGCCGCTTGCATTCCGTGCATGGCTCTCGAAGCATTCCGGTCCGCTGCCAATCAACCTGGCCAGTACGTGGCGTTGGCTCTGGCTACTTTGAGGCAGGGAAGCGACTTTTTAAATACCTTTTCAGGATCACCTCAACTTCAACCTTGTTAAACTTGGACTAAACAGAAAAGACTTTGAGATAGTGAGATTCAAATCTTATCATTCTTCATCAACCGGTGCAGGCTTCATCAGATTCCATCCGTGGTTTCCATATGGCTGTGTCTTTTTTTAACGCGTGCATTGACCAGTGTTGGCCAGACCCGATGATCCCTGGCTACCTGTTGGCCCTGTGGAAAGATATGGCCCATATTTCCGACGAGATGAAGCTTCGGCCCGGCTTCGGCTGGACATTGAGCATCAACTTGATGTTGACACCTCGGCAGAGCCCAATATGAGGAGCCCCGAGCTCACAATAAAAGGAGGTTTATAGCTGGGAACATCTTTGAAGTGATGGATTTGCCAGCACGACATGGTTGATTACCAGAGGGTATGTTTGTGGCACCTGAGGTAAACCCAAATATAGTTGCAGGATGGGCCCCCCCAGTTATAAGTTGTTTTCAATACTATTATAACCCCCATTAACTATACCAGTAGTACCGCACAAGGCGGTGGCGGAAGTTTCAAAAATAGGAAACCTATAGGAGAGATTGGCTGTTGTGAATCAGGGATGGCAGAGCGAATCCACTGATGGACCGAAAGGTGCTTGAGGGCTCCTCTCTTTCTCTCTCTTTCTCTGACTATCTACTTACCTACCAGCCTATCTTCTATGTATCTATCTATCTATCGATCTATCTATCTCTCTCTTTCTCCCTTTCATCTAATTACCTATCTACCTATCTACCTATCTACCTATCTACCTACCTACCTACCTATCTATCTATCTATCTTTCTATCTATCTATCTCTCTCTCTCTCTCTATCTCTCTTTCTCTCTCTTTCATCTGTCTATCTGTCTAGCTGTCTACCTGTCTATCTATCTATCTATCTATCTGTCTGTCTATCTATCTGTCTATCTGTCTATCTGTCTATCTGTCCATCTCTCTATCTGTCTATCTGTCTACCTGTCTACCTGTATATCTGTGGTGCAGTGTCATTCAGTGTATTGTAGTGTAGTTCAATGTAGCGTAGTGTAGTGGAGTGTAGTGGAATGTAGTGTAGTGTAGTGTAATGTAGTGTAGTGTAATTTCGTTCAGTGGAGTGTAGTTGTGTAGTTGTAGTTGTAGCTGTAGTGTAGTGGAGTGTAGTGTAGTGTAATGTAGTGAAGTGTAGTGGAAGGTAGTGTAGTGTAAGGTAGTGTAGTGAAGTGTAGTGGAGTGTAGTGTAATGTAGTGTAGCGTAGTGTAATTTGGTGTAGTGGAGTGTAGTGGAGTGTATTGTAGTGGAGTGTAGTTGTGTAGTTGTAGTTGTAGTTGTAGTGTAGTGGAGTGTAGTGTAATGTAGTGAAGTGTAGTGGAAGGTAGTGCAGTGTAGTGTATGTAGTGTAGTGGAGTGTAGTGTAGTGTAATGTAGTGTAGTGTAGTGTAGTGTAATTTAGTGTAGTGGATTGTAGTGGAGTGTAGTTGTGTAGTTGTAGTTGTAGTGTTGTGTAATGTAGTGTAGTGTAGTGGAGAGTAGTGTAGTGGAGTGTAGTGTAATGTAGTGTAGTGTAGTGAAGCGAAGCGACATCTGAACCTCCAAAAGTGGTCCGAACCCCTAGTGCTTTTAACATTTTGACTTCGAAATGTGCTTCGCGCCACAACGGCGTGCACTTTTTCGACATCTGAACCTCCAAAAGTGGCGCGAACATGTAGTGTTTTGTACATTTTCACTTCGAAATGTGCTTCGCCCCAAAACGGCGTGCACTTTTTCGACATCGCAACTTCCAAAAGTGGTCCGAACCTGGTGTGTTTTGTACATTTTGACTTCGAAATGTGCTTCGCGCCACAACGGCGTGCACTTTTTCAACATCTCAACTGCCAAAAGTGGTCCGGACCTGGTGTGTTTTGTACATTTTGACCTCGAAATGTGCTTCGCGCCACAACCGCGTGCACTTTTTCAACATCTCAACTGCCAAAAGTGGTCCGGAGCTGGTGTGTTTTGTACATTTTGACTTGGAAATGTGCTTCGCGCCACAACGGCGTGCAATTTTTCATCTCTCATCTGGCCAGCTGGCTCCGCACCCGCCGCTTAGCGAGCCTACTTTTCGACCCTCCGGAGCCCCAAATCATTGGAAAAACACAGTGTTTCGCGACTTTCCTACCCTTTCGCGCATCTGCATCTTCTTTCTTCTTACTCTTTCTCTTCTACTCTTCTTTCTTCTAATCTTTCTCTTCTCTCTGCCTCTTCCCTACTCTGCTTTTCATCTGTCCATATTGTCGGAAGTTTGACTTCTAAACTTCCTTCGGTTATACAGTTATATCTACCATAAACCATAGAATTCAACCACTTTTTTTAGGCAACTGAACGCTATCTTGGGGGCACCATCCTGTGGGGGTGCAGTTGTTCCCCACCTGCCAGGTGAGGGTTGTTAGATTTTATCAGAGCTGTTCTCCTCATCCTCCTCCTCCTCCGCCTCCTCCTCTTCCTCCTCCTCCAGTTTCTCCTCGACCATGTCTGCATCAACTTCCACGTCCACTTCCGCCTTGCCAACTTGTCGCCAATCTCTTCGCCAACTTCCGCGCGCAGTGGGCACTGGACCTCAACTGCCGGCTTCGGCCTTGCCAACTCGTCGCCAATCTCTTCGCCAACTTCCGCGCGCAGTGGGCACCGCTGGACCTCAACTGCCGGCTTCCGATCTGAGTGGGCAAGGCTGGACCTCAACTGCAAGGTTCTGAGCGCAGTGGGCACCGCTGGACTTCAATCAGGGACCTTCCGAGCCCAGTGGGCACCGCTGGACCTCAACGACCAGATAGAATGCCAGAAGATATGCCAGATAGAACGCCAGATAGCATGCCAGATAGAATGCCAGATCGAATGCCAGAAAATATGTCAGATAGAATGCCAGAAGATTTGCCAGTAACAAAATGTATAAATGTCATGGTGGGGATCACACGAAGTAAAGTAATTGTTTTGTGTTAATTAATAGGTATAGTAATGGGCTACAAGAGCTGGACTCTTCATTGCCCAGGAAATTGGACTTGGAATAACCCAGATGCAACCCATGGTGCTGGAATATCTACCTACATTAAAAAAAAAACAAAAATGACCATCCAATGCAGTCCACCGGGTTGGGGAGTGCGTGGTTTCTTACGTCCAAAATCAACATGTCTAACCATGAAAAATATGACCAACAGCATGTAGATTATTAATGAATATATGTAAATATATGTATACACATATATTCATATGCCATGTAGAAAAATATGACCAACAGTTCAGTTTCCAACATGTAAAAAATCAACATTTGGCCATGATTAACCAACAATTTATAGGTGGAGATCTCGATTTGCCAAGCCAAGCACCCAAAAAAAATCAGAAAAAACATACGAAGATTTCAGCCGCATAGAGATGTAGCCAATGGTTCAATCAGGAAAAATGATAGCGAGAAATGATGGAAGTGGGTGTATGTCGGTGTATTCATTTTCAGTGTGTAGATGTATGATGATAATAGTGTATATATATATATATATATGCAATTAGAAATAATATCTAGATAGATAGACAATCATGTATGTATGCATGCATATAATTTGTATATATATATACATACAAAATTATGTTTAATTTATACTGCATAATTTAATTGTATGTGTACAATATATATCTATAAAAACAAGATCAACCATACGCATGTGGCTGGACTTGCACTTACCATGACCGGACCGCACCGACGTTGGAGGCCTCAACCGCCTTTTCAGTGTCAGCTTGTTGGAGCAACTTGGGCACCGTCAACGGGATATGAAAACTACCATGATGAGGCGGACTATGATATATCCTTCACATACCTTGGAACAATAAATGGTTGGACTCAGTCATGAGTCATGAAAAAATGGATGAAATCGGATTTTGCCATCCAAAAACTCAAAACATTGTGATTTTAGTGTTATTTTTGGGGATGACTAAAGATCGTTTTTCAAATGAGGTGTTCCCAAGTCACGGCGGCCCTGTGGCGCAATTTGCAGAACATCATCACAGTTTCCCAAAATGGAACAGAAAGAAACGGTTCATTCTCCAAATGTTGGAAACCAATACAAAACTGGTTGGTAGTTTGGAACATGATTTTTATTTTCCCCAATAGTTGGGATGATGATCCAATCTGACGAACTCATATTTTTCGAGGGGTCGAAACCATCAATTACTCGTAGAAAAAATGGGTGAAACCACGTGAAACCATATGAAACCAGTCATGTCCCTTACCCTCCGGCAAAATGACAATGGAAAATCTTAGTCTATCGATGATTTTCCCATTATCAATGGATTGGTTTCAGGGAAATTTTACAGGAAAACCCCATAATCCATGTATGGTTTCCTGTAGATTTTCCCTTAAACCAATCCATTGACATTAAGACCTCCATATCGAAGGGAGTTCCCATCATGTTTGATAACCAGAGGGTAGATCCCAAGTCCAGTCAAGGATCATGATCGGAAGCCGAGGCATGGTTTCCTATCTCTCATGCATGCTGGGTGGATATCTGGCAGATAACCGCTTGGGGCGCTACAGGACTGCGTATCTCCATGGTGGTTGATGTTACTATTACAACACACTGCGGGCGTTATCATCATTACCATCTGGTTGGTGGTTTGGAACCATGGAATTTTATGGTTTTCCATCATATTGGGAATGTCATCATCCCAACTGACGGAAGCATATTTTTCAGAGGGGTAGGGCTCAACCACCAACCTGCCATCAGTATCGTCTGGGGTAGAAAGTTTTATTCCACACCATCCACAAATTTGATTTTGGTGCCACATGACCTTTATGTCTTATGTTCAAACTGCTTTTCTGTGAAAATGGTGGTCAAAATTGCGTATCCCAAAAATGGATGGTCAATACACTGATCAAGATCGACGGTCCCCAGGGTTTTACCCTCTTGTAAACTAACACAAACTATATGGAATATCATCATTTTTAATGGGAAAACTCACTACAAATGGCCATTTTCAATAGCAAACTGTTAGTTTACCAGAGGGTACACTTTGACTCATACCGAAATTCTCGAGGACTATCCTGTACTTCGCTGCCATCTACGTCTTGGGCGTGGTGATCATTGCTCTGTCTGCCATCCCAGCGGTCATGAGAAATTCCATCAGCGTGCCCATCTATCTGCCCCTCGGCAGTCTACGCGTAGCGGCGAGCCGCGGCGTTCGCCGTTGTGGTGGTTTCATTTACCAGGGAACCTATCGGTATGATGATTAAGAAACACATAGAATATATATATATATATATGTGAATTTTGGGGTTTGCAGTAGTACATACTACCAAGTTTGAAGACAAGGCGACGGCTCAGAAATTTGATTCTTTGATTTGTTGGATCCTTAAGTTGGGTCTGCAAGCTTTCCAACTCAAGTTGTCATTTTCCTTGCTGAAACTGATATTTTTAGTGGTGTTCCATCATATTCAGGCAAACCCAGTTTCCATAGAATTTATTGAGACCCCCTGGCTGATGAGGCCCCCATTCCCATAATCTTCCCATACTAATTACTGGGTTTTGAACATAGGATAAGATTAGGGGCCAATATGATTTCCCGGTTCATGGATTGTGATCATCCATGATAATCCCCCATATATACCCTCTGGTAAACATACAAAAAACAGTGTGAAATCACTATTTTCAATGGGTAAATCCCTCATTTCTATGGCCATTTTCAATAGCTATGGTTGACATAGCCAGAGGGTAATATGTTGGTTAGTATGATCCCCTGTAATCATCAACCAACAATAGTTTCCATGCAACAATCAATCTTTCCAGCATCATCATCCCATAGGTAAGGGATTTTTTCCAACAAAACCTAATCTGGTTGGTGGTTTCAAACAATTTTTCAATATTTTCCACTCTATATATGGGATAATCCTTCCCATTGACCTGCATATGTTTCAAGATTGTTATTGCACCACCAACCAGGTTATTATTATATTATATAACCATTATTAGCCATATAATAACCATATATTAACCATTATTAACCATAAATTAACCATAGATATGTTTGGAACAGAAACTGGGTTTAGCAGCCGCTCCCTATCCGCCGTTTTGCTCCAGGCTCGGTGCCTTTGTCTTTGTGGCTTTGGGCACGGGAGCCATCAAGCCCAACGTCATGAACTTTGGTGCGGATCAGTACGACACGGAGGAGTGTTGAACCCAATGACTGGTGCTTGTTGATGATGTTGGGCCAGATGGGATGAAAAATTACCCTCTGGTAAACTAACATAACTATGGAAAATCACCATTTATAGTGGATTTGAGTATATGGATGGTGTTGGATGTATTAACCAAAATGCTACGCACAATTGATTTTTAATATCATCTGACATTTTGGTGAAGCAGCTGACCCTGGTGATTATTAATGATGTTGTCGGATATATGAACCAATACGCACAACCAGATGACCCTGAAGGGTTTTGATTGGAGCTCCACATGACCCGGAAATCCCCAAAGTAAATGGAAGTTTGAGTGAGAACATCATTGCACTAAATGGGTGATCTCCCATTGCCATGTTTGATGACACCAGGGTAGATGGCTTTGCCATCAGATTTGGTAAAAAAAAGTGGAAGCATTGCGATTTCTCCAAGTAGAAGTTGGCATTTCATTGGCTAACATGGGCCCTAAGAACTGAATGATACATAGAAAACTGCGAAGCAAACATGTTTCATCGGTTGCTCTACACCATTGGGATATGACTATTTGGTTCCTTGGGGTATTTGTAGCCAAGTTCTGCTGGAATAGACAACCCAAAAATTGGATTACTGTTATGCTTCCCATGGGGATTCGGCCCGTGTTTAGAGTCTTTTGAGGATGGAGCGGGGGAAGCTGCCGTTGCGGCTTGTGAAACTCTTCAAGTGCCGGAATATCAAGTTATATCAAGGTATATCAAGTGATATCAAGTTATATCAAGTTACCCATAGGATCCCTGTATGCTATATATATGGCGACATTTACCATCAATATACCCCCAATGTTAGCATATATACCATACATGGATCCTATGGGTTCTATCAAGTTATATCAAGTGATATCAAATTATTTCAAGTTATATCAAGTTACCCATAGGATCCATGTATGCTATATATATATGGTGACATTTGCCATCAATATACCCCCAATGTTAGTATATATACCAGACATGGATCCTATGGGTTATATCAAGTTATATCAAGTTGGTGGCTGAAAAATCCAGCCAGTTTCAAGTCAACATGTCCAAGTGATGATCATACGTTTCAATCGTTTCAGTAAAACTACAAGGTGCGGCCCCCCGTTTACGACAGCTAAGTTGACGCACATAACTTGGTAAACCAGGCTTATCACGGATATAACGAACATTAACGAACTAGTTAATGGGGTGATAAACCAAAAGTAATGGCTAGCAGGGCCTCACCTGGCATCATATTAACATAAAAAAGATGCGCGCGTTTTGCCTCGTGTTGCCGGAGGACCCTGAGGAGTTAGTACAGCAGAAAGCCTTCTTCTCCTACTTTTATCTCACCATCAATATCGGCACCTGGGACACCTTGGGAAAAGTGAGGTTATATGAAAGTTAGACTCCGAAAACAAAACCTATGAAGTAGATTGAAATAATGCTTTGTACATAGGTATCCCGGTATCCCATTCATTATATGGTTTACCATGATGGTATCAGTTTCACGTTTGTTTTTGCGTCGAGTCAATTTTTGCCGAGCATGTCTCCGAAATCCGTGGAAATCCACGGAAATCCTGGGGAATCTACCGGGAATAACCATAGTTATATGGATTATTTTCCATCTACTGGGGGATCACCACACTTTTTTTTGAGTTGGTCGCCATGTGGAGCACAAATGGGGTACCCCTTCATCAGTATTGGGGGGATGACCGCAACAGTGAACCTGTTGCCCTCTAGGTTATGTCAACAGTTTGCGAAAATGACCATAGAAATAGTTGATTTATCCATTGAAAATTGTGATGTTTTTTCTAGTTGATAGAAAATAGTTGATTTATCCATTGATTTTTCCCATGGTAAAATGTTAGGTTACCAGAGGGTAGTGAAGCAACAGTGAACCACCCCCAAATCTACCACTTTTATGGCTGGGATTCCAACCATCAATCCATATTGGGTGGTTTATGACATTGCTTTACGAACATTCTAAGTACACATGGTTGGTTCACTTCAAGGACAACTTCCCAAGTGTTGGTTTCTTCAATTCTTCTTTAAGTATGTTACAGTATGGTCCCCAAAATAAGAATTGTATTCTTGTTTAAGCGTCATATTCTTCAATTCTTTGCACATTTTTTATGGTCCCCAAGAAACTCCGGCCAAGTTATCCCCACACCAAGTTCCACCCACGACCCGCTGCTCCAAGGGGTGGTCTTCGCCATGGGCTACACGGTGAATTTGGCCACCAGCGAGAGCACCGAGGAATCGGCTGGCTCAGGCTACCGTGATGATTTTCATGAGGCAAAATTGGAGAATCCCGTGGAATATGGAATTCCCTATGGTTTTCTATGGTTTTATATGGTTTCATATGGTTTCATGGAATATGGAATATGGAATATGGAATCCTCTACAGGATGCGGGCCCCCCAGTGATGTTTGTTGGTTTATATCCCATAACAAAACCACCGTTAACTATAGTTATATCTGCCATAGACCATACTTGAACCACTTATAAGGCAACTTAGCTATCTTGGGGGCCCCATCCTGCATGGTTTAATATGGTTTCATATGGAGAATCATGGGATAACAATGGTCAAGAATGATTGAGAATGGGATGGATTTTGGATGGGAGCTATCGTTGATTTTTGTATAGGCGTTAATGGGACAGAATGATATAATGGTCAACCTCCACTCATAGTGACTACTAATGGGATGAATTTGACAGAGTTGCTCCACGCCACTGGGAAAATGAGAGTAACAAGGTCATTTTGACGGTATTGCCTAATTTACTCCCCTTGTACCTGGGATGTTTGAAGCAACTCAGCAAAATTAAAGTTGAACCATGTTGAACCACTAAGAATACTTGGGGGCATGCAGTAGAACCATGATTTTTATTGCTTTTTTTCACCATAGTTACTATTGGGGCCCAAAAAAATCCCACCTTATGGAGGTTATTTTGTCCCATAGTTTTGCCCAGAAATTCATAACCCCAACTGGATCAAGTAGGGATCCAACCAATGTCCGAAACTGCAGATTTACCAAAGATGTTACCCTCTGGCTTCTGGTTATGTCAACAGTTTGCGAACATGGCCATAGAATTTTTTGATGGAACACCCATAAAAAAATTGTGAATTTTTCCCATAGTAAAATGTTTGCTTACCAGAGGATAATTTCTTGGAATTGGAGGTAGCCTTTTTTCAGACCCAAAGTTCATGTCTTGGTTGCATATCCCATGAAAATCGCATGAAATATCCACATCTGATTGGTGGTTTGGAACATTTTTTATTTTTCCATATATTGGGAAGAATCCTCCCAACTGACTAATATTGTTCAGAGGGGTTGAAACCACCAACCAGACATGTAACGCATGTAATCCTTATTTTCCCAATGGCAAACCCCAAGAATTGAATCGTTTTAAGATTAGACGTGGCCATTTCTGTGGATGCCGAAAGAGACCCTGAATTTGGAGCGGAAAAAAAGGGCTCCGGATGTCAATCCACATGGAGGATCTCAAAAAACAGAGTAAGATGATGGGGATACCGGGATACAGTATGTTTACTATGGTTTTTCATAGGGAGAATCATGGAAGAATATTGGTACAATAATAATATATCAATACCCTCTGGTAATCCAACATGGCTAGCTGGGAAATTCCACACTAGTGTAGGTTTATAGTTGGGAAAATCATACAACGTCATGGCTGGCGGACTTTCCGGGCATGTTTGATCACCGGCTGATGGTGATCCTTCGCGGTAGCCGGTGTTTTCCAAGATACGATGACTTTAAACTGTGACTATGTTGATGGTGTCATTTGTGAAACGATTGAGATATTGAACTGAGATTCCACAAGTATTTGAGATATTTGTTGGTCATTTAACGTAGCTATGGAAAACCACCATTTATAGTGAATTTTTGAATTTTCCCATGAAAAATTGTGATTCTCCATAGTCATGTTAGTTTACCAGAGGGTATTTGTTTGTCTCTTTGGGCAGCCGGAATCTGCAAAATGTGGTACCACATATAGCTATTGGATTCTTTGAGTACTTGAGGGCTTCGTGGATATTTATGGGGATGAGCATCAAGCTATATCTGCTGATTCTGAAAACGGGGTTCCCAATACTTTCACCCACAGGAAAAGATCGGCTGTGAAACACAGGGCACAACTTTCGCCGGCACATGGGATGTTGAGTTTGAACCAGCTGCTGTGGTCTCAGTGGGGACCTAAAACTTCATGATTTTAAGCGATGCTTACTCTAATTGCCATGTTTTTGTGGCTTACATCCCGATTTGTTGTTGGATAAGTTTCATGTTACGGCGAAATCTCCTCTTTGCATAGGAGATTTCTCCTAAATTTCCCCATGAAGATTTTTCTGGAAATCTTCCCATCCGGAGGTTATCTGAAGTCCTACTCCATCGCAGCTGCTGCCATGCTCACGGCCCTGTGCTGTTTCGCTTTGGGCACTCCCAGGCGGCTGCGGTTCTGTCATGTTTCCCGGGTACAGTTGGTGGAAAATACATGACCAGGTGATTTCCCGGCAAGTTGATGTAAGTTGGATGGGGATATACAAATCTTTATAGTTAACTATAGTTAGATGGATAATTAGGTGCACTATAGTATAACTGTTTGTAGGATATTCCCGGTTTTTTTGGTATTCTATAGTTAGATGGAATATCTATATAGTTAGATGGAATTGTAATCTTTTCACCAACTAACTAATAGTGCACTAGTTATAGTTAGATGGAATTCTATATAGTTAGATGGAATATCTATTAGATAACATCTTACAACTGGGGAGACCTTAATTAAGTGCACCCCTACCATCTCCCCATCGCCAGGACAATCCGATGGACTAGCCTTAGGGCAATGATGGCACTGGAAAATCCTTACAATGCGGGGCCCCCAAACGATAGCTACCCGGCCTGGTAAACATACAAAAAACAATGGAAAATCACCATTTTCAGTGGGAAAAATCACTATTTCTATGATCATGTTCAATAGCTATGTTAAATGCCTAGAAGGATCCAGAAGGTAAGTTGGTGTATAACTCCAATCACTTTGGTTGCTGCTACAGCTTAGATATATCTATCTTTAACGGAGTTTGTAAACCAACTTATGACTGGGAGGGCCCAGCTTGTGACTGGTCATCTTTGGGTTCATCATCCCAAATTTGTTTTTTTTCCTCGTGCATTGTTTAAGACAAAGAAACCAAGCCAATGCCTAGATGGGTTTCCAGATGGGTTTGTGGAAATCGAGGACCCCCCAATTCCATCCAGCCTTAAGCTTGCCATTTTGGGTATCCCCTATTTGGGACAAATCCATATCACACCATGGGTCCATGTATTGGATTCCTTCCTGACCTAAGGGATCGTTCCCAGTCCTATATTTTCCCAGGGGAGTCTTTGCTCGAGATGATCATGAGATGATTCTTTCTGCGGAAGTCTTGTGAAGGATGATGAAAATAAATGTAGCCTTGCCGAGTGGTCGCACTAAGACACTTTCACTGCCAGAGTCCTCCGAAGTTGGGGACTTGCAGGTGCTTGCCCAGAAGTCCTTCCTGCAAGGCTTCTTGAGGCTGGTCACTGCAAACGGGCAGATGCTGCTGGATCCAATGCAATCTCTTCAAGCAGCCGGCATTCACGAAGGAGACAACCTCACTGCTCTTGCCCTTCAAACACGCATCGCTGCAACAAGGCGTGCCTTTGCACTGTGGCGCTCCGGAGGTGACAGCATCATCACATGGGGCAATCGATCTCATGGTGGCGACAGCTCCGCAGTCCGAGATCAGCTCAGAGGCGTGCAGCAAGTTCATGCCTCGAAGAAAGCATTTGCTGCGATCCTGGCAGACGGATCGGTTGTGACCTGGGGCGACGAAGAGTATGGTGGCGATAGCTCCGCAGTCCGAGATCAGCTCAGGGGCGTGCAGCAAGTTCATGCCTCGGAAGGAGCATTTGCTGCGATCCTGGCAGACGGATCGGTTGTGACCTGGGAAAACCCAGAGTATGGTGGCGATAGCTCCGCAGTCCGAGATCAGCTCAGGGGCGTGCAGCAAGTTCATGCCTCATTGACAGCATTTGCTGCGATCCTGGCAGGTGGATCGGTTGTGACCTGGGGCCACGCAGCTTGTGGTGGCGATAGCTCCGCAGTCCGAGATCAGCTCAGGGGCGTGCAGCAAGTTCATGCCTCGAAGAAAGCATTTGCTGCGATCCTGGCAGACGGATCGGTTGTGACCTGGGGCCACGCAGCTTGTGGTGGCGATAGCTCCGCAGTCCAAGATCAGCTCAGGGGCGTGCAGCAAGTTCATGCCTCGTTTGCAGCATTTGCTGCGATCCTGGCAGATGGATCGGTTGTGACCTGGGGCGACGCAGAGTATGGTGGCTATAGCCCTGCAGTCCGAGATGATCTTTTGGTTTTGTAGGCAACAGTGTGATGTGTCTTCGGCGCTAGTTTTGGACAGAAAATGCTTTTGTGTTCGGTACGTCAAAATGTTTAGATCCCTTTTATCATATATAAATCTATCCCACTATTGGTCTTCATGCTTTCTTTGGGAGTATAGGGCACCCTTTTTGAATTTTGTTCGCTGCTTTCCTTATTGGAGGAGAACCATCACAGACTTCGAGGGTTGTTGGGCATCATTTGTGATCACATGTTCCCTAAAAATGTATGAAACAATTGATGTATGGGATGCCTTTTGGCAATCAATTCAAACGTGGCAATGGGAAGTATAGATGGAGCTGTTAAATGGTTTTAATCGGCAAGTCCACTATCAATGAGGGATTCCCAATTGCAATGTTTGATTACCCCCACAAAATCGGGACTGAGCCTCTGGGTATATAACCAGATGTAGATATTCATATATGGCAATCGATCTAAAGGTCCTTGCAAGGAGTCTTAACTGTGAAAGCATGTGCATGTTATGTTGGAAACCCTCGCATTTTTTTTTCGAGCTCGCGTTTTTTTATTCGCGAAAATTTCGCGACAGTTGGATATTATGAATCATTATTATTGCATTGTATACATTACAGCTTGCTAAGGGCTACCACCTCCTGTCGCCCCGCACATTTACCTTTCGCTTCATAGGTAGCAGCCAAGCTTCGGAAGGTGAGGCTTCGCCACAGCCAAATACCATGGTCTTGAAGCACGTCCTTGCACGTGTCGCTGGTACTGCCTAACGTTGCTTTCTGAAGTCTCAAGAAACTTCCAAAAGTGAGGCTTTGAGAGCCAAACTCTAAGGCCCCTGGGGTTTGCTTTTCCTCTGATGTCTGGGGTCTGTGGATAGGGGTATTTTCTCGAAAGTTTCGCGAAAGTTTTGCGAAGGAGCGGGCGAAACTCAAAGTGCATTTTGAAGGGAGTGGCCCAGTAAGCCTTGCAAAAAAAAGTGCCTAATCAGAAACAACCTGTGCTGAGAAGGGGATTCCGTGATGCTAGCTGCATGTTTATAAGGCTATGAAGAAGTTATCCGTGATAATATTGTGTGACTTGGCAGGCAGGTGATGAATGAATCTTCATAAGAGCGGTTGTTACTCAACATGGGTGCCGCGAAAGATAAACATGGAGTTCGCGAAAGATTCGCGAACGTTTTGAGTTATTCGCGCAGAATGGCCGTTCCCGGATAAGGGAATTTTGATCAACCATCATATATAAATATGTTTGTATATATATATATATAATATATTCTGGGTCAACATTGGTTAGATTCTGTAGTAACTACTTTAAATTGTTGCTGCCATGGGTAAAATGTACTAACCAGCTGAAACAGATCGATTTTTGACACGTATCTAAGATTCACCATGTATCTTGTTATATCAATGTATGCTATTATGTATTCTTATGAATGTAAAGTGTATATATATATATATATTCACAGAATTTCTGGGAATGTCAAATATTATTTGATCTATTCAATGCGTAAGTTCTAAAACTATACCATTAAGATATTTAATGGTTATATACCCCCGCTTGTCTAACATAGCCATGTAAAAACCGAACATTTCGTGATGGTTTACCCATTATAGACCATTGGACATGGCCATTTTCCATGGCTACGTAAACAAAAAACAGAGGGTATATCTCAGGAACTGATCATATCCCTCATTTGCGTTGGTTGGAACCACTATTGCCGCAGTCTTGGCGCAACGTCCGTTGAAATCCACCATTTTGGCAGGTAAACTCCAACGTTCGCTGCTTCAACCACCATTCTTGCCACTTAGATCAGTCATGTTTGGTGGTCAAACTATCATTTTGCTGCGCAGCAACCGTCCCTGTCCCAACCTTTTGGGAGGTATGTGGGCAAGGGTCGCGTGCAACGACGGCCCATGGCCAGTGTCATTTGGCGACATCTGTGTCGATCGGCCGAGCAACATCTGCGGGGCAAGCTCTGCGCGGCTTGGCGGAAATGCTGTAGAAATGGGGATCTTAAGCGGGCACCCCCAGTTATAAGTTGGATTATAACCACCATTAACCAAAGTTTTGAGTATCATAATGTTGGGTCCTGATTAGTACCTAGGGTCGCTATTGTGGCAATTTTTTCCAAATTATTCTGAAACTCATGTATTGTTTGGAGGGTTCGCTTTTGTGGCAAAACAAAATTGGGAGAGCCCTTTTTTTTGCAAAAAAAACTGTAATTGCTGAGAGGCATTTTTTTCTCAAAAACACTGTAGCTCAGTCAAGGTAGGTTTGTTTGCTGGGTTCACTATTGCAGCAAGCTGTGCCAGAGCAGCTCCTGGAAGCCCAGAAGGGAAGCAAGCCTTTGCCAAAATTGCCAAATTCAAACCCCAAGCCTTTCCCAAAAGAACCAATCCCTTATTAAACCCTTATTAAAGAACAGCTTTTCCACAATTTTCCAAGGTCCTGGACCAGGAGAGGCTCCATTTCACTTTAGTAGGTTTGTTTGCTGGGTTCACTATTGCAGCAAGCTGTGCCAGAGCAGCCCTGGAAGCCCAGAAGGGAAGCAAGCCTTTGCCAAAATTGCCAAATTCAAACTCCAAGCCTTTCCCAAAGGAGCCAATCCCTTATTAAACCCTTATTCAAGAACAGCTTTTCCACAATTTTCCAAGGCCCTGGAACAGAAGAGGTTCGTTCCATTTCACTTTAGTAGGTTTGTTTGCTGGGTTCACTATTGCAGCAAGCTGTGCCAGAGCAGCCCCTGAAAGCCCAGAAGGGAAGCAAGCCTGTTCCAAAGGCAATTGCCAAATTCAAACTCCAAGCCTTTCCCAAAAGAACCAATCCCTTATTAAACCCTTATTAAAGAACAGCTTTTCCACAATTTTCCAAGGCCCTGGACCAGGAGAGGCTCCATTTCACTTTAGTAGGTTTGTTTGCTGGGTTCACTATTGCAGCAAGCTGTGCCAGAGCAGCCCCTGGAAGCCCAGAAGGGAAGCAAGCCTTTTCCAAAGGCAATTGCCAAATTCAAACTCCAAGCCTTTCCCAAAAGAACAAATCCCTTATTAAACCCTTACTAAAGAACAGCTTTTCCACAATTTTCCAAGGTCTTGGGCCAGGAAAGGCTCCATTTCACTTTAGTAGGTTTGTCTGCTGGGTTCACTATTGCAGCAAGCTGTGCCAGAGCAGCCCCTGGAAGCCCAGAAGGGAAGCAAGCCTTTTCCAAAATTGACAAATTCAAACTCCAAGCCTTTCCCAAAAGAACCAATCCCTTATTAAACCCTTATTAAAGAACAGCTTTTCCACAATTTTCCAAGGCCCTGGACCAGGAGAGGCTCCATTTCACTTTAGTAGGTTTGTTTGCTGGGTTCACTATTGCAGCAAGCTGTGCCAGAGCAGCCCCTGGAAGCCCAGAAGGGAAGCACGCCTTTTCCAAAGGCAATTGCCAAATTCAAACTCCAAGCCTTTCCCAAAGGAGCCAATCCCTTATTAAACCCTTATTAAAGAACAGCTTTTCCACAATTTTCCAAGGCCCTGGACCAGGAGAGGCTCCATTTCACTTTAGTAGGTTTGTTTGCTGGGTTCACTATTGCAGCAAGCTGTGCCAGATCAGCTCCTGGAAGCCCAGAAGAGAAGCAAGCCTTTTCCAAAGGCAATTGCCAAATTCAAACTCCAAGCCTTTCCCAAAGGAGCCAATCCCTTATTAAACCCTTATTAAACCCTTATTAAAGAATAGCTTTTCCACAATTTCCCAAGGCCCTGGACCAGGAGAGGCTCCATTTCACTTTAGTAGGTTTGTTTGCTGGGTTCACTATTGCAGCAAGCTGTGCCAGAGCAGCCCCTGGAAGCCCAGAAGGGAAGCAAGCCTTTTCCAAAATTGCCAAATTCAAACTCCAAGCCTTTCCCAAAGGAGCCAATCCCTTGTTAAACCCTTATTAAAGAACAGCTTTTCCACAATTTTCCAAGGCCCTGGGCCAGAAGAGGCTCCATTTCACTTTAGTAGGTTTGTTTGCTGGGTTCACTATTGCAGCAAGCTGTGCCAGAGCAGCCCTTGGAAGCCCAGAAGGGAAGCAAGCCTTTTCCAAAATTGCCAAATTCAAACTCCAAGCCTTTCCCAAAGATATTAAACCCTTATTAGCCCAATTAAAGAACAGCTTTTCCACAATTTTCCAAGGCCCTGGACCAGGAGAGGCCCCATTTCACTTTAGTAGGTTTGTTTGCTGGGTTCACTATTGCAGCAAGCTGTGCCAGAGCAGCCCCTGGAAGCCCAGAAGGGAAGCAAGCCTGTTCCAAAATTGCCAAATTCAAACTCCAAGCCTTTCCCAAAGGATATTAAACCCTTATTAAAGAACAGCTTTTCCACAAGTACTACAAGTACTACAAGTACTACAAGTACTACAAGTACTGCAAGTACTACAAGAACTACAAGTACTACAAGTACTACAAGTACTACAAGTACTACAAGTACTACAAGTACTACAAGTACTACAAGTACTACAAGTACTACAAGTACTACAATTTCTACAAGTACTACAAGTACTACAAGTACTACAAGTACTACATGTACTACAAGTACTACAAGTACTACAAGTACTACAAGTACTACGAGTACTACAAGTACTACAAGTACTACATGTACTACAAGTACTACAAGTACTACAAGTACTACAAGTACTACAAGTACTACAAGTACTACAAGTACTACATGTACTACAAGTACTACACTACAAGTACTACAAGTACTACACTACAAGTACTACAAGTACTACAAGTACTACAAGTACTACAAGTACTACAAGTACTACAAGTACTACAAGTACTACAAGTACTACAAGTACTACAAGTACTACAAGTACTACAAGTACTACATGTACCTACAAGTACTACAAGTACTACAAGTACTACATGTACTACAAGTACTACAAGTACTACATGTACTACAAGTACTGCAAGTACTACAAGTACTACAAGTACTACAAGTACTACAAGTACTACAAGTACTACAAGTACTACAAGTACTACAAGTACTACAAGTACTACAAGTACTACAATTACTACAAGTACTACAAGTACTACAAGTACTACAAGTACTACAAGTACTACATGTACTACAAGTACTACAAGTACTACAAGTACTACAAGTACTACGAGTACTACAAGTACTACAAGTACTACAAGTACTACAAATACTACAAATACCACAACTTCATCGGCAAAAAAAACAATAGTAATTAGATTTCAATTGTAGCCAATTGAAATCCTTACTTAATCGAGGATATGCTTTTCTTTTGGGATTTTTTTTTGCTTTTCTACTTTAAAGAGAGTCCAGATATAGTTTAGGGGAGGGGGGGGGGGCCACACACTAATCAGGAACCAACATTAAACTATAACTAGGTAATTATTGGAGATAAACCTGCTTAGCTACCTAGGGGCCCCCTTTTGGTAATACATGGGAAACCCAATAATTTGGGGGGATGGTTTATACCACCCGTTTATCGTTATTTTGGGGGTCGTTTACCATTAAAAGAAACAATATTCGAATGGATACGAAGATAGACTGCAAATAATATTTTTTGAAATATACAAAGATGATGATGATGATGATGATGATGATGATGATCAAAAACAGTATCGATTTTGACGAATCTAGTGCACATGCACGGGTATCTCAAAGTTGGTTGTTATTGCAGAATAACACACGATCTTCCATGTAGTGGTAACATAATTTTGGATTCTGCGGGTCCGTACGGGATGGCCGATGGCATTTTCACCAACAAATTTTGTGATTTTACCACAAATAATGGGTACCCTCTGGTAAACCAACATATAGCTATTGAAAATTGCCATTTATAGTTGATTTACCCATTAAAAATGTTGATTTTCCATAGTTATGTTAGTTTACCAGAGGGTATCGTGAGCGCCAGAACTGAACTGACTGGTGCGCTCCAAATTGTTCAATGTCTATTTTGTTCCCTACAGTACCTGAGATTGATCTTGGCATCGGTTGAGACCACCAACAAGCGAATTGTCATATTGTGAAAGCATTCGTGGTAAATAGTTGCAACGGCAGTTTTTGGCGGAATAACCATGAACCTGGTGGCTGAATATGGTTGATAATGATTATGTATACCAAAGCATCAAAGATGTGGATTTTGGCGTAACAAAAATGGTTTCACTCTCAATCATAAAGGTTGATGATAAATTTTCAAGTTTTGTCCGTTAGAAATTGTGACATGACTCCTTGATCAGCAAATTAACGAGCTACATCAGCCAGAACTTGCTAATCAGTAATCTCCTTTGCTGCTGGTTCAATAACTCATTTGCCTGATCAAATCCCAGTGTGCTGTTTCAATGCGAGTTGTTGCTGGTTCAGTTCGAGTGTTTCCTTCAAATTACCTTGCAACTACCATAGATTTGGAACACCTACTATTTGTAGATCATTTCCCAGTGAAACCGTTGATTTTCCTCATCTATGCTACTTTACAGGAGGCTATTTCAATTTTTGCTAGTTTACTTTTTTGTTGTTTTTTGTGCTGTTTGGATCTTCATTTTTGTTGGTTTAGATATGTTTAGATCCCTTCTTTGGCGTTGGTGAACTCATGACCTGGAGAGCTGGATTCATAGGGACGCCACCGCGACCTCACCCTAGAATATGCTTATGGGGAATTATCACATGTCCTTATTTGAGATTGGTTCATTCAAATTCAGCCAGATATATGATACCAAGATGTAGCTCGTAATGGGATGTGATCCTCCAAAAATATCGATCCTTCGCTTCCCAAAAAATCCAGCAAAAGCAAGGTTCGCTAACGTTAAACTCACCAAGGTTTTAGCTACACTGATTGGTGCATTGGGTGATTTTTTCCCATATGATATCTCCATGATATCCCCAATCCTTCTATTTCCAATAGATCCCCAGTATATATTCACTGGTTGGTGGTTTGCAACATGAATTTTATTTTTCCATATATTGGGAAGAATCAGCCCAACTGACGAACTCATATTTTTCAGAGGGGTAGGGCTCAACCAACAAGCAGTACATCTTTCATGACATTCTCAAGTTTTCTTGGTATCCAAATGTTGTTCATGGGTTTTTCATCCCACCAGACACACCCCAAAAATCGAAAAAAAACGCAGGTGATGCCCTGGGTTCTGGTCCCAGCTACTTGGCATGGGGATGATGAAAATTTCACCATGTCGTGATTTTTATGGAGACAAACCGTGGTCAACCATGGTGTATGGGGATCTATTTCTGATTAATGGGGATGAAAACTTCACATGTCGTGATTTTACGGGGATAAACCATGGTCAACCATGGTTTATAGGGATTCTAATTATACTATATTATACTGGTAGATGCTGGTAGTTCATTGCGATTTTAGGCAACACCTAAATGGTAGTATCTCATGGGAATATCTCATGGGATATGATCAGGATGAATTTCATCATGACCTCACGTCGTGACGTCACTGGAATACCTAAATGACCCACCATTTTCCGTGTTTTTTCGGGTGCGTGAATCAAGAAAATCAGCTGGATACGGGACATTGATGATGAACCAGCAGATTTAGGGTCTTCCATGCTTTTTCCCATGCTTTTCCCTTCCCAGAAAATATGGGATGAATGGTAAAAAGGGAAATTCCGGTAGGTGAAGCCTGGTGAAATCGGTCTCCGAAAATCGAAGCCAAGCCTCCAGGAGTGGGATTTCACAGTATTTCATGGGATATAACCAAGAAAAGTTGGATATATATAGGGAAAATATCCAAACATATTTCGATATAGTGGGATGTAATGATGATTGGGTTGTCAAACTTTGCATTTTGGGAAATCCCTGTGGCCTTGCCATGGAGTTTTTGTTTCGTGAATCATCAAACTAAAGTGGCAAAATGTTCCAGTGCCGTGTTGCTTGTTGAGGTTAACATATTTGGAATTCAAGTGTTTGGCATATAACTAATATTAATTAACCATACTCCTATCCTCATTTTAAGATTTCTTGAGGGGAGAGCTATGCGGTTTTTGAGACGGAGTGCTCCATCAGTCACACAGGCTCTAAAGGTTGTGTTCGTAAACCCGGGTTTTGGTAGGCTAGCCAGTCTGTGGCACCTTGGAGCCTGTAGTGCTGCATAATTTGCGGCTCGAGATCAGTGGAGCTGGCTGCTGGTTGTTTAATTGCGGAGATGGTTTGAAACCATCAACCAGGGTGTCTCCGTCATATTTTGTCATGATGTTTCAAGTAAATATTGTTCCTCTGAGCGGCGAAAGCAGAAGTTTTGAAGTTCAGCAGTCCTCCAAAGTTGGGGACTTGAGGCTTAGAACCATCAACCAGGGTGTCTCCGTCATATTTTGTCATGATGTTTCAAGTAAATATTGTTCCTCTGAGCGGCGAAAGCAGAAGTTTTGAAGTTCAGCAGTCCTCCAAAGTTGGGGACTTGAGGCTTAGATTTGCCCAAGGTGATTTTTCTTTTTTCCCACTATTTTCATCTATTTTCCCATTGATAAATCCACACGTTGGGTCATTAAAAAGGGAATATGTTCCCATGTTTAAAACCTCAACAAATATCAGGAGTCTTCTGGCCCGGGAGTCTTTTGGGGGATTTCTCCAGCTCTTGACTGCAGAGGGTCGCGTCCTTAGCGATCCCAATGAATCCCTGGAAGCAGCGGGGCTTCGGAGTGGAGATCACCTCACCGTTGTGGCGCTTCGAGCAAACATCGCAGCAACAGCGGCAGCCTTCGCCTTGTGGTGCGGTGGAAAGAAGATGGTCACCTGGGGCCATGCAGTCAATGGTGGTGACAGCTCTGCAATCCAAGATCAGCTCCGAAATGTGTCTTGGATTTTTATGAGTTGAATTTACCCATTGAATAGGGAATAATGATTTCTATATGATTTCTCAATGGTTTCTTGGTCGCATGGTCCCCAGGTGAAGCAGGTTCAAGCCACCCGTACTGCTTTTTCCGCGATCCTCGAGGGTGGAAGAGTCGTTGCATGGGGTGATCCAGAGTATGGTGGTGACTGTTCTGCAGTCCGAGGTCAGCTTAGGAATCCTGGAGCTGAAGATGATGTGGCTTTCCCAATGGGAAATCCACCAAAAGACTGGGGAATCTATAGGAAGTATGAACTGCTGACCATTTGGAGAATTTTTAGGGAATATTCACTACTTGGAGAATCTATAGAGAATATTAATGGATATGTTTCTACTTTTCATGGTCCCCCGGTCGCAACTCCAAGGAATGTAGAGCAGCTTCAGACCTCGTTTGGAGCATTTGCCGCCATCCTGGCAGATGGATCGGTGGTGACCTGGGGTGATCCAGAGTCCGGTGGTGACAGCACCGCGGTGCAAACTCGGCTGAAGAATGTGCGGAAAATTCACGCACCCAAAGATGGTGGAGCATTCGCGGCCATCCTGGCTGATGGATCCGTAGTTGCTGGACAAAGACTTAGATTGTTCAACCTGTGTGGGAATTCGATGGGGTTACTTATTGATCATGTTTGATCCCTTTTTTGAAGGGCAGCGACTGATCAATGGTTTTATATGGCTTGATCTTACATGATCGAACCACCAAGGTTGCTTGGGGTGATCAAGAAGGAGGTGGTGACTCTTCCGGAAGTGAGGATAAGCTGCAGAATGTTGAAGAACTCCAGGCCACAGCAGGGGCATTTGCTGCAATTCGTCGAGATGGATCTTTGGTGACATGGGGCCATCCAGAGTTCGGTGGTGACATTTCTGCAGTCCAAGATCAACTCAGAAACGTGCAGCAGATTCAAGCTACGGATAGCGCATTTGCTGCCATTTTGGCAAATGGATCTGTTGTGACCTGGGGCGATCCATGCTGTGGTGGTGACAGCTCTGCAGTCCACGATCAGCTGTGGAATGTCGAGCAGATTCAAGCCACTTGCGAGGCATTTGCTGCAGTTTTGACAGACGGATCCGTGGTAACATGGGGCCATACACCTAGCGGTGGTGACAGCAGTCTGGTCCAGCATCAGCTGAAGGATGTTGTCCAGATCCAGGCCTCAGTAGATGCTTTTGCTGCGATTTTAGCAGATGGATCCGTGGTGAGCTGGGGAAATGCAGCACATGGTGGTGACAGCTCCAACGTTCAACATCAGCTCAGGGGTGTCGTGCAGATTCAATCCACGTTGAGGGCATTCGCTGCCATCTTGGCACATGGATCGGTGGTGACATGGGGCGATCCGCGTTGTGGTGGTGACAGCTCGGCAGTCCAAGATCAGCTCAGACATGTTGAGCAGATCCAAGGCACAGACTATGCGTTTGCTGCGATTCTGACAGATGCTGGTTGGTGGTTTGGAGCATGAATTTTATTTTCCATAATACATGGGATAATCCTTCCCATTGACTAATATTTTTCAGAGGGGTATACCACCAACCAGGATGGATTGGTGGTTACATGGGGACCTTCTCATGCTGGTGGTGATAGCTCCAAAGTTCAAGATCGGCTCAGATGTTTGTAGTCGAGCCTGTGCGGTGCGTGAGTGGAGAACTCGGCGCTTGGAAAAGAAAGTGCCTTTTACCCGGCCTGGTAAACATACAAAAAAGATGGAAAATCACGATTTTCAATGGGTAAATCCACTATAAATGGGTCATTTTCAATAGCTATGTTAGCAGCCAGGCTGACTGCTCATGGTTCACTGTGAAAATCTCAAAGTTCAGCAATGTGGCATTAGGGATCTGTACATGGTAATTTTACCAATTCAGGAGAGGATACTTGGTAATCACCAGCACATATTCTGGTTCTGCAAAAAGACTTTTTCATATCCATCGAAAGTCAAACAACTGGAATGATTCATGATTATAGGTGACTGCTTCAAAAATATCATTTAATCAGCATTAATCATCATTGATTTTCATTTGGAAGTTTATTCCCCACCTGCCAGGTGAGGGTTGTTAGATTTTATCAGAGTTGTTCTTCTCCTCCTCGGCTAGCTGTCCTCCTCCTCCTCCTTCTCCTCCTTCTCCTCCTTCTCCTCCTTCTCCTCCTTCTCCTCCTTCTCCTCCTTCTCCTCCTTCTCCTCCTTCTCCTCCTCTTCCTCGCCTCCTCCTCCTCCTCCAGTTTCTCCTCGACCATGTCTGCATCAACTTCCACCTCCACTTCCGCCTTGCCAACTCTTCGCCAAGCTCTTTGCCAACTCTCTTCGCCAAGCTCTTTGCCAACTTTCCAGCTCAGTGTGCACCGCTGGACCTCAACCTGGGACCTGCCCAGCTCAGTGTGCACCGCTGGACCTCAACCTGGGACCTTCCCAGCTCAGTGTGCACCGCTGGACCTTAACCTGGGACCTTCCCAGCTCAGTGTGCACCGCTGGACCTCAACGGCCAGATAGAATGCCAGAAGATATGCCAGATAGAGTGTCAGAAGATATGCCAGATAGAATGCCAGAAGATATGCCAGATAAAATGCCATGAGATATGCCAGGTAGAATGCCAGAAGATATGCCAGGTAGAATGTTAGAAGGTATGCCAGATAGAACGCCAGAAGGTATGCCAGAGAGAATGCCAGATAAAATGTCAGATAGATTGCCAGAAGATATGCCAGATAGAATGCCAGAAGGTATGCCAGATAAAGTGCCAGAATGTTTGCCAGATAGAATGCCAGAAGATTTGCCAGATAGAATGCCAGATAGGATGTCAGAAGATATGCCAGAAGATATGCCAGATAGAATGCCAGATAGAATGTCAAATAGAATGCCAGAAGATACTGTATGCCAGATAAATTGCCAGAAGATATGCCAGATAGATTGCCAGAAGATATGCCAGATAGAATGCCAGAAGATATGCCAGATAGAGTGCCAGAAGGTATGCCAGATAAAGTGCCAGAATGTTTGCCAGATAGAATGCCAGAAGATTTGCCAGATAGAATGCCAGATAGGATATCAGAAGATATGCCAGAAGATATGCCAGATAGAATGCCAAATACAATGCCAGAAGATATGCCAGATAGAATGCCAGATCGAATGCCAGATCGACTGCCAGAAGATATGTCAGATAGAATGCCAGAAGATATGCCAGATAGAATGTCAGAAGATTTGCCAATAACAAAACGTATAAATGTCATGGTGGGGATGACACGAAGTAAAGTAATTTATATTTGAGTTTTTTTTCCGTGGCAGGTTTTAGCTTTTTTGGGTTCCTGGTTCCATGCTTTCCTGCTTCTCTGCTGTGCTGCTTTTCTGCTTTTCCTGCTTCTTTGCTTGTCTACTTCTCTTCTTTTCTGCTTCTCTGCTTTTCTGCTTCTCTGCTTTTCTGCTTTTTGCTTTTCTGCTTCTCTGCTGTTCATGCTTCTCTGCTTTACCTGCTTCTCTTCTTTTCTGCTTCTCTGCTTGTCTACTTCTCTTCTTTTCTGCTTCTCTGCTTTTCTGCTTCTCTGCTCTTCTGCTTTTTGCGTTTCCTGCTTTTTGCTTTTCCTGCTTCTCTGCTTTTCATGCTTCTCTGCTTTACCTGCTTCTTTTCTTTTCTGCTTCTCTGCTTTCCCTGCATCTCTGCTTTTGTGCTTCTGTGCCTTTCTACTTACACTACTCTACTTTTCCTTTTCTTCAGTCACGTGTTTTTGCTGCTCTACTTCCTGCTCCTCTGGTTCTGTGCTTTCTGTCTTTACTGCCGCTTTATTTATTCCCTACCTGCCAGGTGAGGGTTACAAGTTGTTAGATTTTATCAGAGTTGTTCTTCTCCTCCTCGGCTAGCTGTCCTCCTGTTTCTCCTCCTCCTTCTCCTCCTTCTCCTCCTTCTCCTCCTTCTCCTCCACTTCCTCGCCTCCTCCTCCTCCTCCAGTTTCTCCTCGACCACCTCCACTTCCGCCTTGCCAACTCTTCGCCAAGCTCTTTGCCAACTCTCTTCGCCAAGCTCTTTGCCAACTTCCCAGCTCAGTGCGCACCGCTGGACCTCAACCTGGGACCTGCCCAGCTCAGTGTGCACCGCTGGACCTCAACCTGGGACCTGCCCAGCTCAGTGTGCACCGCTGGACCTCAACCTGGGACCTGCCCAGCTCAGTGTGCACCGCTGGACCTCAACCTGGGACCTTCCCAGCTCAGTGTGCACCGCTGGACTTCAACGGCCAGATAGAATGCCAGAAGATATGCCAGGTAAAATGCCATGACGTATGCCAGATAGAATGCCAGAAGCTATGCCAGATAAAATGTCAGATAGATTCCCAGAAGATATGCCAGATAGAATGCCAGAAGGTATGCCAGAGAGAATGCCAGATAAAATGTCAGATAGAATGCCAGAAGATATGCCAGAGAGAATGCCAGAAGATGTATGCCAGATAAAGTGCCAGAATGTTTGCCAGATAGAATGCCAGGAGATTTGCCAGATAGGATGTCAGAAGATATGCCAGAAGATATGCCAGATAGAATGCCAGAGAGATTGTCAAATAGAATGCCAGAAGATATGCCAGATAAAATGCCAGAAGATATGCCAGATAGAATGCCAAAAGATATGCCAGATAGATTGCCAGAAGATATGCCAGAGAGAATGCTAGATAAAGTGCCAGAAGGTATGCCAGATAGAGTGCCAGAATGTTTGCCAGATAGAATGCCAGAAGATTTGCCAGATAGATTGCCAGAAGATATGCCAGATAGAATGCCAGAAGGTATGCCAGATAGAATGCCAAATACAATGCCAGAAGATATGCCAGATAGAATGCCAGATCGAATGCCAGAAGATATGTCAGATAGAATGCGAGAAGATATGCCAGATAGAATGTCAGAAGATTTGCCAGTAACAAAACTATAAATGTCATGGTGGGGATCACACGAAGTAACGTAATTTTTTTTTCTTTTGTTTTATTCTCTCCTGTTTGTTTCCTAAATTAAACCCTAAATGAAACCCTAAAGAAACCCTAAAGAAACCCTACATGAAACCCTAAATGAAACCCTAAATGAAATCCTAATGAAACCCTAAATGATACCCTTTATGAAACCCTAAATGATACCCTTTATGAAACCCTTACTGAAACCCTCAATGAAACCCTAAATGAAAGCCTAAATGAAAGCCTAAAGAAACTCTCAACAAACCCACATGAACGTTTGAAGTACCAAAATGTAGCAAATACCATGCAAATGAGAGGTTGAAGTGCCAAAACGTTGCAAATACCATGCAGCATGGAAGGCAAACATGGCCAAATGTAGCAAATGCCATGCAAAATGCAAAGTAACCACGCCAAAATGTAGCAAATACCATGCAAAATGCAAAGGAAACATGCAGCAAATACAATGCAATATGACAGATTCTAGTTCCAAACTGTTGCAAATACAAGGCAAACCTGAGCAAAAAAAAACTATTCTGAACCCTTATTATTTTAATCATCTATGGTTTACCCCATCTGCTTCAACATTCTTGGGATTGGTGAAACCACAAACCAGCTTCGCTGTTGCCGAAGTTTGGACTCTCAGAGGTGGTTCACCGAATTAGCAGCTCAAGCACAGAACTGTGGGAAAATCCTTGGGTTTCTATTTTGGTTTGACATCGGCTTACATAACCATAGTTGTAGGGTTTATATAATCTGCTTGGTGGTTTCAAACATGAATTTTATTTTCCATAATATATATATATAATATATTGGATAATCCTCCAACCATTGACGAACTCATATTTTTCAAGATGGTTATTGCACCACCAACCAGTAATGTTTTAATATACATCTCCCAACTTGTGGAGCTCATTCCAATAGTTTCCCTTAGTTTCACTCATTAAACTGCAGCCCCAAACTTGGGTCGTTCCAGTAAAATCGCCGTCAGTTGGAGTAAAGTCACCCATGAGACGGCGACACAATGTGAGCAACTGACAAGATCAGTAGTCCCATGCCATGTGTCATATGAAACAATCTCATTTTATGGTCGCATTTTAATGTGGTTTCATTCCCTACATCCACCATTTTTTCGTGTAGGGGGTGTTTAATATTAGGGATTTATTGAAGATCAGCTGTGCGGTCATCATGGCCGCTGCTGACTGATCATACTGTAAGGTTTTTGACAATATAGGGTGTTTCACCACCACAAAGAGGTTTTTCATTCAAACTGACGTGATCTGAGAATATTGTATATGCTGACAAGTGATGGTTATGAAAGAGTGGGCTATACTATATGGTTTATTCAGAGACACTATGGGAATCCCTTTCTCAAACAAGCAATATTTTGATATATTTTGTGGGAGGTTGTGCTCATTCGGCTTCTGCTCGCTGAAAAGGTTATGTTTGCAAGTGACATTCAGTGACCCATCCTATTTGCTGATAAGATTGCTGGTAAGATAGATACTTAGTATCCCATACTTATACTTAGTATCCCATGTATATATGCATTGTATATATATATATAGTAAGTTGATGACCTCGAATTGACCACTTCAGTTTGTTTGGTTTGCCCAGAGAAGACAAGATCACTGGCCTATCAAACCACCCGAAAAAACTGCAGTTTGCAGCCATTGTTCATGTTTGGTGCACCAGGTTTGTGCCACATCCCATTCAACCTAGCTTATATTTTTACCCATGAAAAACATCTGTTTTTTCCCAGAAGCCCCCTGAGGTTTTTCTCCATGTTTATGGGACACACCAGAAATCGCAGCCAAGGTTTATATGATCATCATCCTGCTGGGTTCGTTCCTGGGATCCTTCCCTTTGTTCCTCAGCTGTTTCTAGACATCTGGTGTCATGATTGAGGTTTAGCCTGATTTTTTCCAAAAAAATACACGCCAAAAAGGGACTGGATGGGTGGTTTATGATGGTTTATGATACTTTATATAGTCAATGGGGTTATCCCAGATTATCCCCAACTGGGTGGCTAGTTTCATCCTTGAGTTGTTGTTCCTATACATGGAAAATAACGAAATAACCAGAAAAAGATGACACCTTTTCGTGGACTATCAAAGATGGACCATGTCAGGAGTTTACTGATGTTTGCTGTGTGATCTCATATCTACTTGATGGTGGACCCAGTTGCCTGTTATCATGGATGTTTGCCAGTCATGTTTTGAAAGACTGTCACGTTGTTTTCTGCTTGGGGGGGGTTAGGATGATATGTTTCAAACGGGTTGAAAGCACCAACCATTGGTGTTCCAAAGCCTGTTTGGGATAATGTTTGATTTTTACTCGGGTATAGTTGCTGATACTCCCACTATTGTTGGGTAAAACCCCTGCGTGACTGTTGGTGTTTACCCGATCCTTATGCTGGCTATAAAACGACCGTTCACCAGCCTTGATCAAATTCATCCCCAAAACGGTGGAAAGTCTCATCCGATCGTAGAAGCCGGGTCTCTTCAACACAGCAACTTAGCTGTCGAGCAAGGGCTCCACTTTGTACCATATAGATCCATATAGTAGATGGTTGGTTGTAGATGGCTAGTGATATCCCCAATTATATCCCGACTTATCTCCCAAATTCTACCTCCAATGATATCTCCAATTTATCCCCAATATATCCCCATGGATGATTTGGGGATACCCCTTATGAAATCCTGATGGTTTATTCTATCCCCATAGCGTTGCTGATCTTAGCATTTTAGTGGGATTTGTATGGGATTGCATGAACCATATTCGCATGATCTCTTGTGATCTCCCCATAAAATCTCACTAAATCCTAAATATCTCCCCATAAAATCTCACTAAATAGCTTGGATATTTAGATATTCACCATATAAGTGTGTTTTTTTGGGTTGAAACTTTGCGTCCCGTCAAACGTCCCAGGGCCTCGCGCATCCTGACGTGGCTTGCGATGGCTTTGGCACTGATCTCCTGTAGTGGATTAGCTCCTTGGCAAACGGGAGACTCTGGGAACAAAATGCTTAGTTTCATTTCTAGGTCAATCTTAGATGGGTAGTTTAATCCTTTAGTCCTTTTGTATCAATGGGATTGTCCACTAACCAGCTAAGAATTTAATTGTGTGCAGGGTATCTAAGATTGGCTGGCACTGATTTGGGGCGTGGGGTATTTCTGAGAATAGTAGGATTTTTTGAAATATGAAAATATCCATTAAAATCCACTCATGATCATATTTATTTGACATATCAATGAATATGATAATCTTAGATATACACTCTGGTAAACTCACAGTAGGCGATTGAAAATGACCATAGAAATAGTTGATTTACCCAAGAAAATTTGTGATTTTCCATAGTTATGTTAAATTACCATAGGGTAGTCATACTGTGGATGGTTGCGAAATCTTGCACCACCAAAAGGACGGTTAGGCCATGTTAAACTCCTATTTAATGATGGGATGTTTACCACCTATCAACTGGCGCAGGATTTCGCAAACACCGATGGGGTACCCCAAAATGGATAGTTTATAATGGAAAATCCTTTGAACAATGATGTAAAATGGATGATTTCGGGGTACCATTTCCGGAAATGTCGTTTTGTGGTAAACCTTCAAGTCTTGTGGGAATTGTTGAAGGTGGTCTGTGATTTTCCCAGCGGAAGAACCACCAGTAATAAAGTGGTTTAGCGAAGCATTATTACTCCCAGTTTTGCAAATGTGATTTACTACATTCTCGATTTATCTCAATGCCATTAATCTGAGAACTATGCGCCAATGTGATGTCGTCCCCAGTTTTCCGCAAATGTTGGAAAATCCTCGGAAAGAAAAAACAAACTCAACTATTAATCACCTTAATTTCCAGGGCGCGTTTAAGGTGAATGTTGAAATCCCCAATGGAAAATGTACCAGTTGCGGAATTTATAGTAGAATCAAAATGTTGAGTTTATTGGAGTTTGTTTAAGGAAGCAGTTTTGGGGATGTCCCATGAGATATTCATAGGCATCCAGAGGATATATCCATATACATATATTGTTAGGTACCGTGCGGATGGGTGAACCCACTAATAAACCTTCAATTCTTGAGGGTTTATACGAACCATCGCTGGTGACATTGGTGATAGTTTGTTGTTGGGTTTACCACAAGAGTTGGGTGAATGGTTCAACCAACCATTCATGGGCATGCACTGGAATATCCGTTTAATATTTCGTGGGATTGAGATATTTCGTGAGCATTATATAAATGATGGTTTATATTTCATGGGATATATATGACAGCACTAGAGGGTAATCCATATCATGATGGATATAATTGTGGGAATCATGCAACTGAATATAAATTGACGTTCATTACCTGTTCTTCATAATTTAGAACAATACTTAGTAAAGTTGAACCACTCGTACTACCAGTGTACATCATGCCTTTGGTTCTGCAGCGGTTCCTACATTGTCCA